AAGGATATGGTATTCCTTCAATAATTAGAAATATCTGTTTATTATTTATTATGTTCATGACCCCATGCTAAGCCCTGTCAGGGATAAAGAGAGTTTACCATCCCTGTCCCCAAGGAGTTCTGGGTCATAAGAGAGGCAACATACAGATCCATGAAAAGTATAACAACAAGAAGACAGATGTCAAATACAGAATTGAGAACGTAGTACCAGATTCTAAGTGATATGGGTTCCCAGGAAGGAAAGATTACTGGTGTGGTGGGAGCTAGTTTCAAAGAATGGAGTACCTGGCCTGAACTTGTAAAATAAATGGAGTTTTTGTAGGTGAAAGGAAAATAGAGGATCTTCCATGCGAAGAAGATAGTCTTAGAAAAGACATGGAGATATAATGCGAGTGGCATGGCTGGGGGTGGGGGCAGGAAAATGCCTGCCGATATAGTAGTCCCTTTATCCACTGGGGATACATTCCAAGACCCCCAGTGGATACCTGAAATTGCAGATAGTATCGAACCTTATACATACTGTTAATACATACATACCTGTGATAAAGTTTAATTTATAAATCAGGCACAGTAACAGATTAATAACAATAACCAATAATAAAATAAAACACATAACAATATACTGTAATAAAAGGTTTGTGAATATGGTGTCTCTCTCCCCCTCCCTCCCTCTCTCTATCTCAGAATGTCTTATCGTAACTGACACAGAGAAAGCAAAACTGCCGATAGTGAAACTGATAAGCGGCGGCCACCGCATTTGGGAGCTAATTGAAGCCAAATTGTGGAAATTGTTGAGAACCAAGCTGATGAGCCTGGATTCTCTCTTATATGTAAAGAAATGTCACCCAAGGTTTTTGAGCCAAAATGATGTGAGGGAAGAGCGGCCTCCGTCTCAGAAACATGATAGGGGACACAGTGTGAAGATAGGGGGGCAAGATGGGAAGCTTTTGCAGGAATCCAAGGCATCAGTTGATAAGTGTCTGCGTGAGCTTATGGCATTAGATCTGAACTAAGGCAATCATTTCATGTTACTTAGGGTAAGTGACATTGCTTTCACTGTGAATATCCCACGCATTCGTGAGAAAAGTTTTATACTAATGTTATGGAATTCTGCATTTGGTAGCACCAAGGTAGTTTGCTATAAGAAGTAACGGGAGCATTTTAATAATAATACTACTGTTTTGTAGCATCAGGCATGAGGCCAGCATTGTCACAAGCCTCCATGTGTTTGGAAAGGTAAATACTGATATTCTAATCTATCTTTCTACATTTCTAGGATGCTGACAGACAGCACCAAGAAGTAATCTCAATTTATCGGACACACCTTCTTAGTGCTGCACAGGTAAAGAACTGTTTCTCCTTTGGAAAGAATATTATTTTCGAGAAAATAATTTTTTATTTTCAAATAAATTTGTCTGAAAGAAATTGATGTTTAAAGTAGCTGTACCCTATATGCTTATTTAAAAATAATTATTTCTTTTAATCATGGTTTGTGTATCTTCCAGAAAAATTTACAAAGCTTTATGGTAACACAGCATCTTAAATTAGTGCTGCCTTCATCTGCTTGTCACTGAATTTATAGACAGTTTGGTAATGTGGTGACAGCACATGTTAACGGCGTTGCTAGCTGGAGGTAATGCCTTGACATCCACACGTAAGTGTCAGCTGAAAGAGGAGAGCAGAAAGGATTTCATATGTTTCTTGGTAGCTCAGGAGTATCTCCTTGAAATGTAAAGAATACTAGAGAAGTATGAAAATGACAAGCAGAGTGTGCATAGAATTGTAATAAAGAAAAATAGATCTGTGAAGAGGTAACTGATAATATTTATTTATGGAGCCTTAAACTCAGTGACGCGTAAGATTATGAATTCCCTTCTTTAGAGGTATACTGAGAAAGCTATTTTTTTTAAATCATACTAAGCAATGCTTAACATATAAAGGATACTATACTTAATGCCCTTTGGAAACCCTATGTGCAGCATCTCCAAAATTCTCTGACTAGATTTTTCAGGAAGATACACTAAAAGAGAAAAATATTAGAATAACAGGAGAGATAATGGGAATTATTTGGATTTGAAGTGTGTTAGGCCACATTGTAAAAACAAACAAAAAATATGAAGGAAGGAAGGATAAACGGGTGTTGAGAGAAAGCTTCAAAGAAAGATCAGTTTTTAAAAGAGAACTACATAAAATAATGGATACTTTATGACATTAAATTTTTAAAATCAATAGGGTTGCCTTTTCTATAGGAGATGGAGGAGAAACCAATGAAAAAGAATGGGCCGGGCGCCGTGACTCACGCCTGTAATCCTGGCTCTCTGGGAGGCCAAGACGGGCGGATTGTTTGAGCTCAGGAGTTCGAGACCACCCTGAGCAAGAGCGAGACCCCGTCTCTACTAAAAATAGAAAGAAATTATCTGGACAACTAAAAATATATAGAAAAAATTAGCCGGGCATGGTGGCGCATGCCTGTATTCCCAGCTACTCGGGAGGCTGAGGCAGGAGGATCGCTTGAGCCCAGGAGTGTGAGGTTGCTGTGAGCTAGGCTGACGCCACGGCACTCACTCTAGCCAGGGCAACAGAGTGAGACTCTGTCTCAAAAAAAAAAAGAATGAATGGTGTGATAAAAGAAGGTATCTTTAGCTACTGTCTTTTGAGTAGAGAGAAGATAAGCTAGGATTTGAAAGTTTATTGTAATTATTACAGAAGACTATGGAGGGACTCTGGAATAGGAAATTTAGGAGGGAAAATGGTAGAAAAGCACAGAAAATCTGTATTAGAGAGAGTGAGGAACTCACTAGCATTGGCCAAGGGAAGAAGACCTTACTCTTACTGAAAGATACAGCAAACAACAAGCCTTTCTATTTTATATAATATATGCTTGTGAAATATGAAATTATTTTCTTCTGAGTCCTAATGAAACATAACAGAAGCAATTGGCCTCTGAAATGAAACAGTCTTGCTTTCTGGCATCATGAAGTTAACTAAGAAATTCAGCTCAGTCAACTATGGCTAATGCTTGAAATTTAAACATCCTGCTGTTATAGAAACAGATTTTGGAAGCAAAACTTTTATATTAATAGGAATTGTGCTAAAACCTGTTCAAGTACTCCAGGAAAAAAACATGGTGGGAGGGTGTTGTAAGCCCACCATATTGACTTGCGTTTAATCAATTCTTGCCACCATTTTAAGTTTAAAGTATTTCTTCTTAAATATAAATGGCTAACATGCATGTAAAAAAGATGCTCAAACTCATCAGTAATGGGGGAGATGCAAATGAACAGGAAAGTACCATTTTTCACCTATGGAACTGCCAATGTTAAACAAGACGATGGTCTGCAGTGTTAGCCAGAGCGTGTGGGAAAAGGGCGTCTGAGGCCTGTTGGGGGAGTGTAAATTGTGACATTCTCTGTACAGGGAATGTCTGGTACTTTGCAAAATTAAAAATTGAGTCTGCTTTTTGACCCAGCAATTTCTTCTTTAGGAATCTGTCCATAAAGATGGGAAATACCTTAAATGTTCATCATTAGGGGAATGGGTAAAGAAATTTAATACATTTATACAGTGGAATATTATACAATAACTTAAATAATTAGGTATCTCTAGGGAAAGATTTCTGTGACACTATGTAAAAAAGGCAAGTTGCAAAATAATATATATTATATGATCATATTTAGGTTAAAAATATAAATATGGGGATTTTTTTTTTTTTTGAGACAGAGTCTCGCTCTGTTGCCCGGGCTAGAGTGCCGTGGCATCAGCCTAGCTCAAAGCAACCTCAAACTCCTGAGCTCAAGTGATCCTCCTGCCTCAGCCTCCTGAGTAGCTGGGACTACAGGCATGCGCCATCTTGCCCGGCTAATTTTTTCTATTTTTAGTAGAGACACGTGGTCTTGCTCTTGCTCAGGCTGGTCTCAAACTCCTGAGCCGAAGCTATCCTCCCTCCTAGGCCTCCCAGAGTGTTAGGATTACAGGCATGAGCCACCGCACCTGGCCATGGGGATTTTTAATCAAGCACTTTTCTCATTAAAAAAAAAGAACCTCAGCAGCAACAACAAAAAGTTTGCTTTTAGTTTACTTTGCTCATTTATGACTTATGCTGCTCCTGTCATCTGAGGTTGTTATTAAAAAAGAGAGAGAGAGAAGTTTTTCCATTTGTCTTCTGGTAATAGATGTTAAAAGCAACTACTGTACAGTACTACTTACTGACTTCTTTCTTTTCATGATAGAGCTCCCCTCCCTTTTCCAGTAATTTCTTTAGATATCACCACAATGGCAAGAGTTTTTTAGCATTTGGTGACTCACAACTAGTTGTGCTCTATTATGAAGACTTTGTCTTTAGAATTCCTGTGCAAACAAAGATGACAGAAAACATTTCTCCTCTTCTTTTTCTCAAGGGTCACATGGATGAAGATGTTCAGGAGGCCTTACTCCAAATCATACAAATGCGGCAGGGGCTTGTGTGCTAGCGGTTAGCACTGACCGGCCAATGTCTGCTTTGTCCTGCTGGTGCTGAGCTTTCTGTGCACAACTCCACGGTCTTTCTGGGCCTTACTGTGCTAGTATAATTAAAATAAAATATGTTTTGTTCCATCAGTAGGTTTTTTTAATTAGATGAATATGTTACTGACTTTTTCAATATCAGTTCAAATTTTATATTCTGTATGTGTTAATTTTACAAATGACATAACACTTTGCCTTGGATTGACTATATATTTTTACACTTGAGTCCCTAGTAAAACATGAACCATATGAATGGGTCCATACAAAGAAGGGTTAGGCTGAAATAATTGTTTAAAGATTTCTTTCAGAGAAATTAATTTGGCTGGTGGCTGCTTTTAAGTGGATCAGAAGACCTTTCAGACCCTCAGAACCTTGAGACCTAATGTGGTTGCAAGGAATGCATTGTAACTTTGCTGGCCAGGTTTTCTCTTTATTGAGGTAACTTACTGAGTGTCTTTGACTTGTTTTGGAGGTACTGATTTTTTTCTTCTTATACTTATAAGTTTTATGCCTTTTAAAATAAATTTCACAAATGGATTGTAGTGCTAAATTACATTTAGATTAAGAACAGGCAGGGGTGGAATATATCAGGAATTTATAATAAAATTGCCTCATAATCTCTACAACAGTATCTTAATTCTTACTTGTGGTGACTTTTCTTGCCACAGTATTTAGAGAACAATGATAAATGATACATTAGATTTTTCAAAATGTCAAAAACTTTAGACTTTTTTTTAGCAATTACTTTGACATTTGCTACTATAGTAACCAAGCACTCATTATATATGCATCCTCCAAATGTTTCATACTTATTTATAGGAAAGTTGTACTAATGAGATTAATAATGTGAAATGCAATTTTCCTACAGAATTAGCATTAGAGAATTGATTTTAGATAAGATTTTTGAGGTTTTAGACAAAAGTGCAATAATACAGTAAACTATAAGAATATAGATAGCAAGAAAATAATAAAATTGGGCATGTTTATAATAAATACTCTGATGTAACCAACTTTTTATTAGCTACATCTCATCGAGGGAAGTTTATATATCTTGTTATTTTTATTAACATTTTGTTTAGCATTCAGACTGAAAATTACTAATTTGACCATTAACAAATAACTGAACAAATGAATCATTTCAGTTGAGTTTTCTTAAATTGCAAAATGTGCCTTAGCAATAAAATTTGAACATCCTGAACCAGATTTTTTTATCCCATTTTTGTATACTAGGGTAAAAGGGCCATAATGTAGCTTCTCATACCAAAGAATAAGCCATTATATTTCTTCAGTGTAGAAACAACAGTGAAAAGTCAGAATTGGATTTATTTTTAATTCTTTAGGTAGATATATACAGTTTACATAAACGATATCTGGTTTCTATATTATATTTAATGTTGTCCTTCAGCATGAGTTCCATTTCATGAGTTTTAGGTTACCTGTTGAAGCTCCACAGCGGAGCAAAGTTCTAAACTGAACATTTACATTCAGTATTCCATTTTCCTTATTAGGGGTAGGAAGAGAGCCTTATGTGTATTTTATTTTGTCTTCACCATCAATAAAATGTTTTCTCCAGAATATTGTTTTGAATGTTTTTATAAGAGATTCTCAAGTTAAACTAGTTTATTTGCCATCTTTGGAGAATTTGGAGTAGGAAATGATGGGGTCCAAAGTATAGAAGATGATATCCATTTTCAGTTAGCTATCCAGAGTCAAATATCAAGTAACCTGCTTAAATTAATCCCTTGTCTCATTCTCTCACCTTTTCATATCAATGGCAGAAACTGCGTTTGCAACACTGAAGACTAAAGCTTTTTAGTTAGTGAGCAGGTGAAACATAGATAATGGATGATGCTGGTCTCTGCCATTCTGCGTTGAGAAAGACTGTGATACCTGGATCTATGGCCGAGAGGAAAGAAGAGTAATGTTGTCTAAGATGTGATGAGTGCTTTCTGAGAGAATGTCCAGTCCTTTGTTGGAAGCTTTACTCTTTTGCTTTGTAGGTTTTTTCTTATGACTCCTACTTCATCAGAAAAACTCATTCTTTTTGACAGAATCAGTATTATAAAGAATTGTCTATTAAAGTAAAATTAAATATTCATGCAATGAACATCTTAAAATTTAATATTATAGTTTTTGTAATCTCTTA